AGAGCTCTGCCAAGAACCAAGCCCAGGAAGAATAAATTATTTTAATGAAGACAGTTTACCTATGTTTCAGAAATAATGTTACCTAGGCAGTCATTACTCACTTCCTCCTGAAGCACCTTGTCACAAGGAAGCAGGTCATGGAGTCTTCCCAATATGGAGCTCAAGAGAGTGTAAGCTTTAGCAGAAGATAGGAACACCTGATGAGAAAGACCAAAGGGATGTGAAGAGGGAGCAGGAAAAACACATCCTTAGTGAGTGTGGACAGAAAAACCAAGACTCGGAGGTCTCGGAGGGTAGAGGTTTATTTTACACTGGCGGGCTCAGAGGAAAGTGATCTCTAAAGGTCTGAGCCCCAAGCACAAGCAAGGGGAGCGATTTATCATTTCGGCGTGTGCAGCAAGAAGAGCAAAAGAGGAGCCCGGAAGAGTAAGAGCCCAGAGGAGTGAGGGGAGGGGGGCTGGAAGTGTGCTGCTGACCTTGCCAATGAAGAGTTCAGAGGAAGGAGAGAAAAGCAGAGGGGCCGAAGGTTTTCTGCCAACCTTGTTGGCTGTGTTGAATATTTTCTTTATCAGGTGTAGCCCCAGGCAAGTTCACTCTATATTCAGTGGGACCAAAAAATGACAGCAAAACTTTGGGGTTAAAAAGGGGCTCATGCCAAGCTTTATACTCTTGGTAGTAAGTCAAGCACTAGAATGCCTTCCTCCTCTAGGGCAATCTTCTAATAGCAAGTCTGTCTCAGGTGCTTCCTGTGCTCTAGGTTCAGCCTCCACTCCAGGCTCTTCTCATCTCTACCTCAACACCAGGCCAAGCTCTTTTTATAGCAACACACGCGATAATGGCTTATCACCAACAGGTATGCAAGAATGTACCTGTACAGTAGGCTAAGTATTACATCATTGCACATACACAGTGAGTAAATTAGATTAGGTAAGAATCCTGGCCTTGGAACTTCCATTTTCCCTACAGTGGGCCTTATAGATTGTATTCCACAGATTAAGTAGCACAAAAAGTCTTTCTCTAATGCTTCTCTGCTTGGACTTAAGCTTTCATCACAACACATAGTAACCAGCCATAGAGTCAGTACTCCCAGTCTGCTCAACAGCTCCCTGAGAGAACCACTCCATTTCCCATAACAACCTTTCAATCTTAAGAGTCTGTATTGTACCTTAACTTTCCTTTTTTTCTTTTAACTTCTATAGATGCTACATACTCTTGTCAGCTGCCCTAGGAATTAGGTGCCACTAGTGAAGCATTTCCTACTGATGGGGTTGGTTTCTTTCAAGAAAAGGTAATTTAATCAGCATGTGTAATTTTCTGCTTCCTTACAATTCATTGCCTCTGATGCCATCTCCTCAAAACACCTTTTCCCCCCCATTTAGTTCAATTTCTACAGAGCTGTGTGGAAACTCTATTATGCTAATGATGAGGCAGATAAGTGGTTTTCTTAAATCAAATTAGCAAACACAGCCAATTACTCTGCAACCATTCTGAACTTGACAAGAAAGATCATTTTCAGCACAGAAGAGATAAAGCCTGTGCTTGTTTTTGTTGTTGTTGTTTTACCCTTCCTTGAAGCAAACTTCATCTGTGCCAAAAAAGTTTCCATCAAAAGGATTAATGGTTCATCATCTTTCCTAAATTGAAAGCTGGCTTTTTATAAAAAGAGAGTTTATGATTTGTCTGTCTCTCAATTAGAGGCCTATAAAGTTATAACCCTGGTTGGTGGCTTTAACTATGAGAATTATGTCCCTAAATAGCTACCCTATTGCATTTATCTGCAGCTGAACAATGTCTCTTTTTAAAGGTACCATGTCTTGCCAATGGGTTTCAGCCTTGGGCAAGTTTGCTATGGATTCAATGGACAGCAAAACGTTCTTTGGGGTGAAAGTGTTTATTATTCAGCTTGTTCTCCTGGTGGTAGGTCGAGCACTAGTGTCTCTGCTTCTACCCAGAGCACTGGGCCCAGCTCTCTACATAATGCATTAATAGCTTATTGCCTAAAGGTGTGGAAGTGGTTGCCTAGCAACAGACCAGTTACATCATCAGTTGGTTTAAGTTCAGTGAGGATCCTGGCCATAGGAACCCCAACTTCCCCACACTCCACCCCTCCAGGATTCTCGCCTTACAATCTACATGCTTTAAATCTTCTGCAATGGTCCCTGTGTAAGAAAGCTGGAGCACTGTAACCAGATTCCACAATAAGAACAGAGGATAACAACCACTTAGAGATAATAACAAAAATTAAGATACAACAAGATTTTGATACAGGTAAGAGAAATTATAATAATCCTCAAGCCAGAGGAAGTTCCGAATCCACAAAGACTTTAGGGGTGATAAAACACACGTTTTAATGACACCAACATAGGTAAATTTTGTCCATCAGGTAGGATGCATGCAAGAGAGTGGTCCTGTGATAGGACTGGAGCAGGAAGTGGGTCCCTACCAGGTCTAGTATACCATACTTTGACTCCTTTCTCCATGGGGGTTACTGAAGGGTCTATATATAGTGCTACTGAAGGTGCATGCACTGGCCATAATGATAAAACAGAACTCCCCAGTAAGATGCTCTTACCTTCTGGCCGTTCAGGATATACTACTGTGACGTTTGGGGGCCACTCTGCTGTTATTCCAGAATACACAGGAGGCCAGCTTTCAGGCCTTGTCCCCAAGGTGCCAGGAGAGCCAGCTGTCATTGGTCCATGTGTTGAAACATCCATGGCCACTTCCACCCAATGGAGTCTCCAGGGTTCAGTGCAGTTGGTGCTGGCAGCAAGATATTATTCTGGTGGCCAAACCTCAGCTTCAGAGATTCTTCCTTCCCCTGTACTTGCAGTTGTATAGGGGAGGCAGCCATATGTGTTAACATGTCTACAGGGCTCAGGGCTCCCTTTCGGGGTCTCTCATTCAAACGCCACAGCACAGTCCATAAGTGGACTGACCATCCCCACAGACTATTGGTATCTGACTTTACTCCGGATTTTAACAAGCCATGTGCCTCTCTATCATGCCTGCTGTGGTAGGATTGTATGGCACATGAAACTTCCATTTGATTCCTAGCTGTTGCACCCACTCTTGCAGTGTATGCCCAATAAAATGGGTGCCCTGATCACTCTCTACCTGTGATTGGCCGTAGGCAGCAAAGAGACGCTCCAGGCCTTTTTTGGTTGTCTGCTGGTCTGCACAATGGGTAGGAAAAGCAACCAGAAGTCCAGTAGCTGTGTCCACACAAGTCATAGCATACCGATATCCTTCTGACACAGGTAGAGGCCCAATATAGTCTATCTGCCACCCGACGAGGGGTATAGGCCCCTCAGTTGTTGCCCCAGGTTGCTGTGGAACTTGGTGTAAGTTCCTTCTGGAGCACACAACACACTCCTGACAGGCTCTACTAACTTCTTCAAAGGTCAAAGGCAAGCCCCACTGACAGGTGACAGCCCACATTGTCTTTTGCCCTGCTTATGGGATGCCCTAAGTGAGGTGAAAGAATGGCCACTAGAACCCAAAGAGGGATGTGGGAGCCATTTGAAACACAATATTTCTCATCCCAGTAGTGAAAAATCTCTTCATCTGGGTCAAAATTCTCTGGACTATAGATGGCATTTATTATGCCTAGCTCTTGTAACACCTGTTGGAGCTCAGCATACATCTGCCATCTAACAGGAGAGGATGGTAGATCACCCTGATTGGGCCACACAGCATGAAGTGCAGCCATATGCCAATCAAGGAGAGAGTGACTCCCTGGAGTCTGATGTGCATTTTGCAATCACTGCCTCAAGGTGGGCTGCACTGTCAGGGAAGCCAGCTTTCCCAGCTGTGATCCCTACAGAACAATTTCATCCACCCCTAAGTCCCACAGACGCAGGAGCCAAGCTGATATTGACTCAGAGGGCTTCTGCTTAAACTGGGAGCCCAAATCCACCAGCTCAGCCTGAGTAAAGGGGCGGAGCATAGAGTGCTCCACGACCTGGGGAGAGGGCTGCTCCTCTCCTTGGGGTACTTTCAGCTGCTGGGTCTTTATTTTCTTTACAACCACTGGGTGTGTTTTCAATACAGGAGGTGCCAGTGCCTCCAGCACCACCCCTTCATCCCTCCCCAGCTCCTCCATTTCTGGGGCTGATGGCACCTTTCTCTCCCTTCCCCCGAGTGACTCCTCTGCTACAACCTTTACCTTTTCTACTGTGCCTCGCAGCAATGCTACCTCAGTCTTCAGCAGCTCTCTTACCTTTATCTCAATGCTTCGCAGCTGGCATTCTCATGCCACCTCTGCCTGTGCTTTCCTCAGGAGTTCATCTTTTTCCTTGACGGCCTTTTCCTTCTTCAGAGTACCTGGCAGTGCTGCCTCTCATTCTGTAAGGAATTTTTTACCTCTTCAATGGCACCTTGCTGCTAGCATTCTCGTGCTGCCTCCTCTCACATCAATGCCATTTCCTTCTTCAGGGAATCCACAGAAGTTTGCAGCTCACGTTCTTGTGCCACCATTTCTTGGACCTTTTTCAGGAGCATGTCCTTCTCTTCTGTAGACTTTTTTAATACTGTGAGAAGCAGCCAACCCACAGTCCCTGCTGCCTCATGGGCACTCTGTCTCTCAAAAGACCTTCTTACTATACCAAGGGCCACACGTACAGCCTCAGGTGTCACCTCCACTTGCCTCCAGTCCTGGGGTGGGGCCCAGTCATCTAGGAGGCAAGCCACCTCAGACCACATACCCATTGGGGGACAATCCACTGTCTCCCCATTCACAGGGGCTGCCTGCTGAAGCACCCCTCCCATAAGGGCTGCCTGTCTTTTTCCTTGGTCAACAATGAACTCTGCTGACTTTCGCCAGTTGTCTAGCCAGTGGGTTTCAGCTCCCAGCAAGTTTGCTATGGATTCAATGTGATCAAAGAAATGGACAGCAAACATTCTTTGAGGTGAAAGGGTTTATTATCCAGCTTGTTCTCCTGGCGGTAGGTCGAGCACTAGCATCTCTACCTCCGCCCAGAGCATTGGGCCAAGCTCTCTATATAGCGTAATAATAGCTTATTGCCTACAGGTGTGGAAGTGGTAGCCTAGCAACAGGCCAGTTACATCATCAGGTGGTTTAAGTTCAGTGAGGATCCTGGCCATAGGAACCCCAACTGCCCCATACACCATTACGCATTTCTTCTGTTAATTTTAAATTGTCCAGAGAATAAAATTCAGAGATTATACATTGTAGTGTTGGTCTTCATAAGAGTCCTAGGCAACAATCTCATACCAATTCATTTTATAAACATTTGATAAACATAAGTTTTATGTCAGAACCAAAGCCCAGTTGCTAGGGCTGAAGATACCTCAGGGAATTAGCTGTAGTTCCTGTTCTCATGCATCTTAAGTCAAGAATGAGAGACAGATCTATAAACAAATGTAAAACAATGATATGAAGCCTGTAAAATAGTCACATTCACTTTGTTGTGGGAGCCTGGTGAGGATGCGCTCAGTGCTCACCTGTGTGGTCTAAGAGGAAGGACTGAGAACATTTAAAAGGAGACCTGATGGTGGTAAGGTGGAAGGCAAAGCAATAGAAAGCAATTCTGGAGAAAGAGAAACTTAGCAGCAAAGGCCCAGGGTTGTGAAAATGTGTAATTTGCTGGCATTTTTCAGAAACAGCAAGAAGCACTACACTGAAGTATATGGTGAGGAGTGAGGAAATGAGCTGAAGTAGATAATCAACGATGGTACAAAGGTGCTTTGCTGATTAAGTGTGAAATTCATGATAGAAAAAATGTTGTCATCTAAATTTCAGGAAAATACTATGTAATATCATTCAGAATATTTAACCAAAGAATCAGTGGTATCTATTGCCTGATTACCCAAACTGAGAACCTAAATTTAAGAAATGAGAGCTAACATCACACTTTGATCTCCTGAAGCAGATGCAGTTTAGTTATTTTTTATTTTAGCTGATGTTTCCTTCCATAATTCTTGATTATTGCAGATAACTATATCTCAATTATTTCTTTCAAATGAAATTGTCCTGGGGCTGTTAACATTTTCCTATCCTTCCAACCAGAGCTGAAATGACTTAGAAAAATGAATAAAAGCCACCCCACTAAGATGAAATTTATGTAAATGCTAGCTTCACAAACATATTTATGGACTGTACTAATTTGGCAATGCTTTTATCTTACACTGTTGGGCTATGTGATTTATTTTCATCCAACACCAAAAGCAATGGTGTATTTTTCCCTACATAAATGTATAACAGTAACAATATTATACACAACAGTAATAATAGTATAACTTCATTCGGGTACCCAGACCCAATTCCAATGTGTATAAATATGTGGGAGGGGGTCTTCCCACACATACTTACATCAAGCAATTCTCAAACACCAGGGTGTTGGAGAATGCAACTCAATTCTGATGCTATCTTCCCAGAGACAGCACCTGATCCCAAGTAAAGGGCTCCATCCTACAAGACAGCCCTCCATCTCCCACTCCAGACGCTGGTCACGAGCCCCAGGCAGTTACCTGTGCTTCTGACTTACTAGCTGGCTACACAGATTGGAGGTTCCCATGACCTCCCCCTTAGGTTCAACTAATTTGTTAGAGCAGCTCACAGAACTGAGGAAAACACTTACTTCGACCAATTTAAAAAAGGATATCCTAAAGGATACAAGTTAACAGCCAGATGAAGAGAGACACAGGGCAAGATTCTGATTAAAGGAGCTTCTATCCTCATGGGGCTTGGGGCCTGGCTCGGTGGCACATGGAAGCATTCTGGCTCCCCAAGCATAGAAACTCTCTGAACACAAAGTAGGATTCAGCTGAGCAGAGCAGGTGGAGCAGAGAGGGAGCAAAAAGCTCTTCTCAAGGGCTTTTGTGAGGGCTTCATTGCATAGCCATGATTGACTAAATTATTGGCCATTGGCTGTTTCAGACCACAGCCTCTGCCCTTGGGTGGGGATACAAAAGTTTCTCATTAACATGACCATACACTGTTTCACCTTTAAAACTCTGCAGTGTTTTCAGAAACTGTGAATGAAGACCAAATACACCTGGGAAATATGTATTTATACATATTTCTTATAACTCATTATATCACAGGTTATTTACTATTTCTTAGCTGAATGGCTCAAAATCATGAGTTTTCCATTATCTGGTTTAATATATTTCAAACTAAGGTTTGAAAAGAAAACTGTTTACACAGATATTGCTTCTCAAGCCAGGAATCTGTATGTGTCCACATGTTCTTCCGTATCACCCTCCCTCTTCCACTGAGCCACAACTTCCCACACTGTTTTGAAATTCCTATCTTCCCAGTGTCCATCCACTCTGTCCACCTCCACTTCTATTTGCTTATTAACTAGATCACCTACCTTTATCACCTGTTGACTCTAGCAGTGTTCTAAGTGGTTTCTCCTCTCCAGTCTTGTCTTTTCAATCCATTTCCCATACTGTCATCAAAGTAAATCTTTCACTTAAAAGTCTAGTTACATCATTCTGTTACTTCCAACTGATGCCTGCCAAATACCACTAGCATATAGTCTAAACTCATCATGGAATACATCACCCTTCACTGTCCATGTTCAGCTTTTCTCTCCAGAATCATCTGCTACAGCTTCCTGTAGCCATTCCCACTTACTCTGTGTTTACAAAGCCTAGAGTTCCCCATGCTTCCACCACCATACCCTGACCTCTCAACCTGTAATATTCTTCCCAGGTCTTTCCTTGTTTAACTCCTACTTATCCTTTAGGAAGCAGTTTCATAGTTAAATGCTCAAAGAAACCTTCCCTATTCACCATAATGAGTAAATTGAATCCCCAGTATAGTCAGTTCTACAGCGACCTATAGCACTTAGCTCCCTGGATATCCTGCTCCCACTGCACTGTGAATTTTGGGGGACTAGGACTATATCTGATTCATAAAAGCTTATCCCCAGCACCTACCCTAGTGACTTATATAATGGCCCCAAAATATAGGTGTATCCAGTCTTGAAACAACTGACTGTTAATCACCTTCAACTAGTGGTTTTGGGCACAGTAGTCATCTTATACACACAGATACAACCCCAAAATTATTCCTTATGTCTCTTGTCTCGGTAAAGACAGGTTTTCCCAGCATATCATGATTTGGTGGCAGGGGGTGGAGTTTGAGAAAGATTTTTAGGTAAAGAAATACCAGGCCCAGCAGTTTTCAAAATTATTTCATCTCTCAAATATATAAAACTTTGACAAAGTCATCACAGCCCTTTGCTGCCCTGAGTTACTCCTATTGCTCTCTCATGCCTTCTGAGCCATTAGCCTTTATTTTCAGTTGTGATAAATGTGATTTCCTCTTTTGGGAAGCCAGGTTCATCTCTCTTTCTAGCCTGACTTAAGTTCAAATCTCCACCCTTCGCCTGATCTTTTTCTCCTGTGTCACCAATTCCCATAATTTCTATTCTAGGCTTATGTGCTGCCTTTGAAGTTTAGAACTTTATGAAAAAATAAGAAATCTTTCTTCACTGTAAGTTTTGTTAATAGTTACATAAATTGAAAGCCTGTGGACAACCACATCATCCCAAACTCTAATTTTAATTTGCAGTTGGGAAGTAGAGAGAGAATTCTCTTATAGTCCCAACTGACTAATCTCAGTTTTTGTCAGATGGGAAAGATGGTGGCACCACATCCTGTCAAGGATCTGTTGCATTCTACCTGCAACCTGTTCACTTAGAAAGGCTGCACTAATTCTGCCAAGTCATCAGGCCACCCTTAGGCCTTAGCAGTTTACTCACTGGAGCTCACAGATGTGAAGGAGAGGCTGTGGCTCCAGGAATGCCTATCCTCTTACTTCTCAAAGTGTGGTTTACGAACTAGCAGCACTGACATAATCAGGAAACTTGTTAGAAGTGCAGAATCTCAGACCCATCCCAAACCTACTAAAGTTGAGGGCATTTTAACTGAGATCCCCTGGTTGTCTTAAGTACATTAAATTTTGAGAAGCACAGACCGAAGGATTTGCCCTCAGTGACTGCTTTGGACTGGGTCTTCCAAACTGACTTGTTAAAAGGATGTTTTTCTATCTGTCCCATCTCGGGTCATCTTCATCTCAGAGCAGCAGGGACTCCATAACATTATGAATAACCTTAAGCCACATGAATTTAGGTGTCCATTTAATACTGCAGAAGACTGGGAAAGCCTCCAGAGATGGAGCAAAAGGAGACACAGGAAAAGACAAGAAAAGAAGAACTAAAGCTGCAGTACTGAAATAATATTCACTGAGCTCTACAGCAAGAAATCCTACTCATGTCTTGAATCATCCACAAACATATTTCATTATTTGAGTAATGAGATGTGAGAATAGAGACTGTGACCAGGACAATGTACAGCCCATTTCTTCATACACAGAATGCAATTTTAAAGTTGGAAAACATTAAAACCCAAATGATATTACTTAGTAAGGTCTTTTTGCTTTTATTTTTATAAATGGCCTTTAGGTGGTATATTTGTGTGCTAGGGCCACCACAACAAAATGCCACGAACTGGGTGGCTTAAGCAACAAACACTTATTTTCTCACAAGACGGAAGGCTTGAAGTCTAAGGTGAAGGGGCTGGCAGCTTGGTTGCTCCTGAGGCCTGTCTCCTTGGCTCGCTGATAGTCTCCTTCTCACTGTGTCCTCTCATGGCCTTTCTTCTGCGTACACACATCCCTGGTGCATCTTCCTCTTCCTATAAAGACACCAGTCAGATTGGATTAAGGCCCCATTCTTACGACAGTCATTTAACCTTAATTATCTCCTTAACAGTCCTACCTCCAAATCACAATCACAGTCATAATCGAAGGTGCCAAGGATTAGGACTTCAAAATGAACTTTGAGGAAACACAAATCTGCCCATAAGTGGTAGGAAATGAAATTAGAGAACAAGGGTAATAAAATCCCCTTTTCAGAAATTCCTGAGGATGAGATACCTTAAACATAATATCTGTTCAATACAAGTAAATATGTAACCTCTCCACATATGTACAATACTATGCTTTCTTTGGTGTGGATAGAGAGAAAATCAGAATGACTGGGGCATTTCCATATACTGCAAAGGAAATTCCAGCCTTGTTTGAATTATTAGATAAGATTATTTTTAGGTGAGTTTCCTCACTTGATTTTTATTTTCTTTTTCTCCATATTTGGTATAATTATTATTATACCCTAATAGATAGTATGTATAGATATTTGTATATAGATTTTGTATATCTACAAATCAATTACTTTTTTCAAAACCGGATTTTAAAAAGTGATTTAAAATAAATATCATCTAGAATCTCTGTGCAGCATTTTGCACTGCACTCTATTATACAGGCATGGACTCAGGCCTAAGGTGCTGATGGAGCTCAACTTTCTAAGCTATTTGGGAGTGAGTTTGAAATCAAGTCATGGTAAGGATAGAATACTAAGTACCTATGTCCATGTCAAAAGACTGCTTGAGGATTTTGAGTAACCAGTTTCTATGACAACCCATTTGGCTAGGAGGGATGTGGTGGTAGAAATCCTGGTGACTGGAGGTAACTGGCATTGGGAAGTCATTTGCCTGAGAACTAAATTCCTTCCCTGAAGGGTTCTAGTCCATTTCACTGATATAGGAAATGGGATCCAGGTCCCTAGAGAGGGTCTGCTGAATGCCAGGAGTAGCACTGGGTTTTATCCTAACTGGACTGGTTCTCCTGAGGGTCTCCTATCACAGAAGTATGTGGAATGTACTGGTGTGGAACAACTGTTAGAGAATGGGTGTGAGACAAAACCTGAGGTTTCATAGGCCTGGAACAATGACAATAATTCAGGTCTAAGCAGTTGATCAGTCTAAAATGCTGTTATGGTTAAATTGTGTTTCCCAAAAAAAAAGATATGTTGAAGTCTTAAATGCCTATGACTCAGATAAGGACTTTACAGAGGACGAAATCATTTGGATGGGTCCTGATCCACTATATCTGGCATCCTTATATAATGGGAAATTTGGACACAGACAGACACACACGGAGGCCAGACAATGTAAAGAGATATTCACACACACAGGAGAATGTGGCCAAGGAGAGCAGGCTGGAGCAGATCTCCCCTCTCAGCTCCAGAAGAAGCCAACCCTACCAGTACCTTGATTTTAGGCTTCTAGCTTCCAGAACTGTTAGACAATAAATTTCTGTTATTTAAGCCACCTAATGTGTGGTATTTTAGCTTTAGCAAACCATACAGATGCCTAGCCTAAGATTCAAAATAAACCATCTACTTTGGTTTGTTTTTGAATGACATGAGTCTTGGTGGAATTGAACCAACAGAGAAAGGGCCTCTTACCTTTAAAAGTTCATCTTATTTTTGAATATCATGTATTATAAAGAAAGCACTTACCTGCCAAATCTTCTTATTGTAAGACATTCTGTACACTTATTCTCTACTGGTAATTTTGTGGTGATCAATGACTTCATCAGACTATGTGTGTTTACTTTTGGTGTAATGTGATACTCCGCATCCTCTGTAATTCTGGTTTATCTTTGTCCTCTTTTTGCTCTTTGTAACAGTTATGAGCAGTCAACTTATGTTATTATTCATTTTTTTAATTTTCATGAGACCAAGATAATTGTTTTCTTTCTTGTCTAGTATCTAGAGCAAGGCCCAGCACATAGTAGGCACACAATTAACATGTGTTAAATAAATAAATACATTTATGATTGCACTGTTAATCTTTGAATATATTGGTCCATTAATATTAAGTCAGATGCATACCAAAGCATTTCAACATACTGCTGTGTCTTCTTTTCCTATTGCCAGATATAATGAGGCTGATTGTAAAGGCATTAAACACATGATTTAAATTCCCCTAGAAAGAAAATAATACTAATATTAACAATAGTGACAAATCAAAGTAATAGGAAAGATACTTAAGTGACTGTTTTTTGGCTATATGTTTTGTAAGCATTGCCATTCTTTAAGCTATCATTTCTCCATTCAATCAATATTTTTTGTTAAATCATTATTTACTGTCAATATCATTATATTCATGATGAATATTGTGTTTTACTGTAACTATATAACATTGTTTACTTTTTTTCCTTCTTAGTTCTGTTCGTATCTGTTGCTAATACATCCCATACCTTACAGTAACCTCTTAGTACAATTGTCAACAATGTCAGTCTTATCAGGCCATCCATAAATTGTCATGTTTTGTTGCCTGTGTTCTGCCTAGAGACATCTACTTTTCTATCTTCTGCCCACTTGCCAGCACGGAATGTCCTTTACTTCATCCTTGCAATTCTCTTCGCCTTTCCTCTAGGTTGGCTTTCTTGGTTCCTTTTCCTTTCTTCACTTATTCTCTGGTTTTACTGGATCATGTACATAGATAATTTTGTCAGATTGGAAAATGACACAAGAGCAAAAGGCCTGGTGATGATAGCCTTCAGCATGCATGTCCTTTGAGTCACTCCAATGGACTGGTCACCCTTCACACCTGGTACATAGCATCTTGTGCTTTCCTTTTCTTTGTTACCCATTTACTACTCTGTTCTGTTGGATCTCCTTGTCTGTATTTTGTGGCCCACTCTCTCTTCGTTTACCACCTTATTTTGTTGAAGGATATCTTCTGGTGCCTTGTAAGCAAAGGGCACAAAGTGATATACTTCTTGAAACTTGTATGTCTAAAAATATTTGTAGGGGAGTGCCCAGGTCAGTATCTTAAGTATTTCCTCTGAGACTATCAGTTTTTCCAGAGACTATTCTTTCACCTATTGTCTAGAGGATAAAGTTCTGGCTACCAGCATTCTGCACTTTGAAAAGGGAGTAGAAAGCTAAAATGCAGCATTGAGTATGTGTAAAAGCACTAATGACCCTATTTTTAATAGGAAATTCATGGCTTTAACTACTTCCATAGATTCTCAAGACAAACATTTTACCTTCTCTTCTACTTAGAAAACAACATTCCATTATTCTACTAGCATTGGAGGGAAGGAAGCCATAATCCCCAGGCATGGAGTCTCGGAGGCATTAAAAGATCTAACATTTACTCAAACAGCTTTCACCCAAGTCTTCCTTTCATTAGTGTCCCTCCTTCTCTAATTTCTGGAGGAATTTCCTGATGCTTTCAAAAATATTTTAGAGAAAGAAAGAATTATATTGACTTCGAGCTTTCGCTTCTGCATTCTTAGGATTTGTCTTCTCAGTTTTTAGAATTCATCTTTCCTCCTTCATCTGTGTTGTAGCTTCTGAAAGTCTTACTGTGTTTCCTCTCTATTCATGACTTAATATATTAAACAGAAAAATGCTTAAAGGATTTCTAAGTTTAATGGGGACATTGGACTTACTAGATGTATATCATCAATGTGCTTCTAACCTGCAAGTATAATATAACTTTTATCTTAATATGATTTCTATATTTCCGAAACTTGAATTAACAACACTGACATGTTTCAGCTTCTGTGGTAAAAATGATTGTATACTGACAAAAATCTAGAAGAAAAGTTAAATACTCGTTACTTTCCCCTCTAATCCTATATGGCCTATGTGATTGTGATGCTAACAACCAATTGCAGAACTAATTGAACATTTTACTTTTCATCTGGATATTTTGGTCTAAATTAAATACAAGCCTCTGCTCTGAGAGCTCTTTGACCTTCACGAAAATAAAGGTGATTTTATCCACTCTCAATGCTTCTCTCTTCCCGTCCCCCAGGAAACATCCCTTTACATAAACTCTTAATCTTTATTTGCAGAAATACATAACTGATAAGAGATAAAAGTGCTACCTTCATCATTTAGACTTACATTTAAAATAAATCTATCATAAAAGCTTTTTAAAAAATCCAGTAAGGATTGAGGATAGTTAACAGTATTATACAAAGTAGCTTCCTCTCTGCCCCTGCAATCATGCCAAATATCAGCCTTGATAATGAAATAACTCTTTGTAAATATTACAAAACCTTTTTGCCATGGGATATATCTACCTTGGAGTGGTAATGCTGCATTTCTGGACTTCTGAGATGGTTTGAGAAGTTTCCAGTGGGTTCCCAAACTCCAGGTTTAGGAGAGAAGCATGAAGCTAGGAACTAAGGCTTTTGTTCAGAGAGCTAAATATGATACACAATGAGTTTCTAGTTGTCACTCATCTAAGTAAAAAATATCTGCAGAAAATTACTTGTTTGTAAATAGGTGTTTACCTTTGAATGGCCTGGGAGACTTGCCCATAAGGAGAAAATGATTTAAAACAATTTGAAGCCATGAGAGCTCTCTTCTGCTTTCACTGGGCACACGCAGTCTGTTGGCATAACATTGGAACAGCCAGCTTTTGCTCTTGTTTCATCACTTACCTACAAGCCATTTAAACCGTCACTCAGCCTCTCTAAGATAATGTGTAGATGTCTAACCTTGGTCTTATTCATTTTGTCCAGCCTTCACCTTCTGTCTATAATCATTTTTTGTCCTATAATCTAGTTATAGTTATTTTGTCTTACTTTCCCTATTCCAGTTATTAACTCCTTATTTCAGTTATTAACTTCACTCTGAAATAGTTATTTAGATCTTACTGAAACATGTTGCTTATGCATTATCCAGGAAGCTTAATGCATATATTTAGTATATATATTAGCAAATATGGTGAAAAATGAATGAAATTATGGGTGAACTTTTCAAAATTCAGGACAGATATTTCATGTTGCCTCTTGGTAAATTACGGAATTCTCTCCCCAGTAGTTCTGAAAATGTTATGCTGTTTTTCCTCCTCTTTTCATTAGTTTTAGAGAAATTATTTTCTATTAATATTGACCTCTGCCCCATTTGTCATCTGGTTTACAGTCCCTTTAACTCCAAATTTATCAAATGGATTTGAGGCTTAATAAAGAAGACACAAGGAGATCTTCATCTTTAAAGAAGAAAAAAAGCCATGGCCTCAGTTACAGCCGTGATGCTCACACAATACAAAAACTTATAGCCAATGAAAAATATTTTCTCCAAGAAACTGAAGGAGTGAAGGTGAGTGAAATGCAAATTTATCACTTGTACCATCATTATTAAGAATTCTTATTCTGGGTTACTGCAAATTCTATTCTTATTTCTAAAATGTTCCATGTTATTCTGTTAAACCAAACTAATTTATAATTGTTATATTGTTATTGAATATGATTTTACCTCACAGTGAATGCTATTTTTATTTTGACTTATTTGTGGCATCTAGTTTTTAGTAGGTAACAAAATAGCAATGTGGAAATGTAACAATAGTAGCAGATGCGATATTTCCCTAGATCCTGTTTGGATTAAGTCTCTCTCTCAGATAGATAGATACATTGTGATATATATCACATGTATAGATATACCATATATAAAAAGGATCTGTGCTGGCATTGCTGCAGTCATCATGGAGTAATCTGTCTCAGCTGTGAAATTTCAGGGTTTTAAGGTCACATGTTTCACAATTACCTTATATTTTTGACAGCTAGATAGCTAGCTAGATGTTTATACACTGATTACTTTAGTCCCTCAAATTACTTTCTTTCTAGGCAAAAAAACTCCATTCTGATTCAACATTCAATCATTTGGTATACACACGCACATAGGGAGAAAGAGAGTGACAGAGACAGCCAAAGACAGAGATAAAAAGATAGATAAATATATATGTGTGTGTGTTTTCACGTTACTTAAGAGAGATTTTGGATTATTAATATGCTTATGGAAATATTTCATAGGGAGAAAAAAAAGAGAATAAAATTGCAGAAGTAATGTCTTTAAATGAGTGAGGGGAGTGGGATCTAGGGCCAAGTAGAGGAGTAGGTGTACAAAGGCTCAGAAAGGCTTTATCCCGTGAAATAGGGAATAAGAATGTGCATTGGAGAATTTGGGGATAAGAATATGCATTGGAGAATTTGGGGATAAAGTAACATTTGTGTCATTGTTGCTTCTATTTTCCCTTGGAGCTAAGGTGAGATCACCAACTTCATGATGAGGGAGAACAGGATGTTGGAGGTTAGAGGAGAAAGGGTGACATTGTTTTCTCAGAAAGCAGAAAGATGAATTGAAGAAAATGTAGAATTCCAGTGCCAAGAACTACTTGAAATCTGTGGTTATACATTTAAATTGAAAACAGTTGATTAGGGTTTGTTGTTCTTTTCAATCATAGTCAGCTGCTCCAGCAAATAATTGGATAAAAGCATAGCTAAGATTTTCCCAGAAGAGTGTAATGGAGAAAGAAAGGAATAAATAGAGGAAGATGAATGATCCCAGTGACGGACTATTATCACTAAAACATTGGCTTCAGGAGGTCATGTATTTTACCTCAGTTATTCACTGCCGGGAAGTATCAGGCACATTTCACACACTCCTTATATAATTGCTGAGTGATTGAGTGAATAGAATCTAAGCCAAAGAAGTGGAGACAAGTGAAAACACTGTGGTGGTAGAGAGTCAGACATTGGCAACAGCCATGAATGTCCGGGACATCTTGATGGGAATGAAGGGTTGTCAAAGTGGGCACTAGAGAAAAGTAACTGAAAAGCTCAGTGGAAGTCTGAGTGTGAGATGCTTAAAATCACAGGTTTGAAAGTGGTACAGCAGTTATTGGTAATAACATGAGAGAAGGAACTGAAATGGAATGTCAAGGTATATGTAGATACACACAAATGTACAAATATATTCATATGTTAATATTCTATATATTATAGAGAGAATATAATATTATGTATGTAATATCCACCATGTTTTTTAATTCATCAAGAATGATGACAGGAGAAATGGTGCAATAAGAAGACAGTGACCCAGATGACCAAATTTTCAATTAATAAGAGGGAGTGTCAGGGGGACAGGTGGAGAGGTGGTAGCAGATAATGTCTTCTGGTGGCC